CACATTGTATTGAGGCTAACACTAGTGTCTTTAATCCTGCATTGTCCAGCCTTATGGGCATAATTAAACAGCAACATTAAAACTGGACTTTCATTTTTTCAAATTACAGTAAACATCATTTTTGGGATGTTAACTAAAGAAAGAATGGACAATTTCTACATTATAGGTGATTATCTGTAGCCACTATTAAAATCTTGAAAGCATGTGGCTCAAAAATACAAATGTGACTTAGGTCCTTTGACTGATTTGCTTAAACACTGGTGAGCTAAAATTTGACAATTACTTACAGCTATTTACTCATTTGAGTATGTAAAACATACAGTTGTTTCTGGCTCCCAGTCAGCACAATTACATTTTTAGTTAAAATTTTATTTTCTTCACTAGGGCCATGCCTAATACTAGTTATTGCTCTCTTTAAAACAAAACTCTCAGAAACATATACATTTTTTTGTCACTAATTTTTTTTTCAGTCACATCGACCTGCAACTTGAATATTAAATTTTATTGTTACTTATGTATTTTGATTTTTCCAGAATGACTTTAATCATTCATATCTGTATGTATTTGAAATTGAATGCAATCAACATTCTCCAGTTGTTACACCAGCTGATAGACAAAATCGACTGTTATGACTCTTTTCTATTTATTTTCTGCTCAAAGTTATTTAAATGTGCTGTAAAAATGGCATCAAGGTAATGCTAAACAATAAAATTTAAATGGAAAAACACAAAATCGTACAAGTAACTATGGCATCAATTGAGAGATTTATAAATGAGAATACAATTTAGGAACATAATTATAATGTTACAGCTTGATGTTATTTTATATAAAAATGTCTTGAACAATATATGTCATTATGTTGAGAATTCCAGCACTGATCTTAGTGATCATTTCTGAGATGCATTCTCACCAAAAAAAAAAAAAAGCTGGGTTTTTAAATGTTTTAAAAATCATTGATTCCCAGTGATGATTCCAAGAAACATTCTTGGCAGTGTCCAGATAATTCTTCCACATATCTCTCATAAGAAGAAAGGGACACCACCCATCTATGCTCGTGGCCTACACATATTAATTTAAAACCACAAACATCTAAACATATACCTTGAGGTTTATCCACAGTTCTCTGAGGTTTTTTTTTTCTTTGAATTAGAAGAAATTGATGATAAGCAATCACCATGCTTACCAAAATGCAGAAAATTAGTAGAGTGCCACTAAAAAGATGTTTTGAAAAGCAGCTCCCAGAAAGCAAGGAATCCCTGGTTTGTTTTCTTAGAATAACAGATTCTATCTCAGATGAGACATCTCTGCTTTTTACAAATGGGTGAAAATGACAACAGAATTAAAGGTTCCAGATATTATTAAATTTGCTTGTAGTATCTGACTAAGGGATGTTTAAGTCCTTCCGTTCTATCACAAAATATTTGAGAAATCAGGAATTCATCAAAAGAGTTGCCAATTTAATGAAATGTACTAATGAAATTGCTCTGTGAGTATGAAGTTGAATTGTATGCTTTTGTTTACTTGGCTATAATTTCATCAATGAATTTCAAAAGAAAATCCAAATCAAAATTCATCACCGTAGTTAATCAATATTGGAAGTCACTATGCTTTTAGTATTTTTAGAAATAAAACTACTACTTTAATTAAAACATGTGATATTCTTTGACAATCTTCTACCTTAGGATAGATAAGGTTGTTTTATTTGTATAGCTAAAAACAATTCCTTATAAGTTTAAAAAATTATTATTCCTTATGTTAGGATAAACTTGTTCATTAAAAAGATACATGTATTAGTGCCTACCTTCATACTACTACAAACTTTCCTATATTTTATCTATAAATGCTATCAGGTAAATTAAGCCTGGGATAGTATTTTCAAAAAGATTAAATAGACATATTGAGTTAAATAAATGCCACAGATTCTTTCCTTTTGTATCCTCTATTTTAAATAATTCTTGGTAGACTACTGGTACACCCTGTGAAAAAAGAAATAACCTCATTTCCATTTTTTCAAGTTTGAATGCTGAAGATTTATGTTTGAATGAGCTGATGGGCATTTTGGCTCCAGTGTATTTCTGCACCTACCAAAAGGAAGAATACAATAAAAATGGCACTCTTGTCTATGCAGAGGATTGTTACTACGTTTAGCAGTTACGTTTCACGTCTGAGGTAGTTCCTTAGGTACTAGGAAGAAAAGGTGACCTGAGATAAAGTAATGATTTTATGCAAAACTGCCTTCGAGATCTTCTCATCTTAGTATTTCTTTAACTTTTCCCCCTCTGGAGACAGTGTACCTTCATCCTCCAGATCCTGGTATCTTGAGATTTTGTCTATCTTTTGTATCAAAATCTATGATCTATAAAAATTTTGACTAGATAGTTTTCATTATGTTTTCAGGTGTCTTTGCATTTTAGCATAAGCCAGAACTTTAAGATCAATGAAGAATTCTGTAATGGTTCAATTTCAGGTCTTCCTCAGGGAGATTCGGTAGTGGTGTGGTATGTTAGAGGACTTATCCATTGTCCTCACTCCTAAGACCTTGTTTTAGCCACTAGAAAATATTTAATTAATGCCAGTACTCTTTCCTCTGCTCTGTAAAAAGGCAACAACTGAAGTAATTTTCAAAAATGTTAGAAGCAGTCTCCCCTCCCCCAACCAATAGTATTATTTATCTATTGGTGGCTGACTTTGGCCAATAGATTTTAGGTGAACCAAATTCAGCTGAAATGACAAATTTACAAAAATGTCAATAGATATAGCACTTATATAATGCTGATTTCCTCCTTTTCAGATTTCAGCACTGTGAAAAAGTAAATTTACAAATACATGCAGCATAGCTGAATAAGCAATGACGAATAAAAATAATTAGTGATCTGATGAGGCACATTTCTCAGAATTTGGAATGGATCTAGAAACAGTGCCTTAAGAGTAAGGCACTTACAGGGTAAGGAATGATATGAAGGTAATTTTTAAAATTCAAGTCCTTTTTCTCTAGGTTTGAATACATATACCAAACGTATATGTAACAAAAAAGTTGGTCTTTCAGTTATTTTAGCATTTTATATAAAAACGATTCTTAACTGGGTACTGCCATTACCTTAACTCTCCACTTCAGTTTGTGCATGTGGAAAAGAATATAACAGGGGAATAGATTACAAACGCATGTGCTAGAGATAATCCTTCAGAGTGCATGGATCAACAAGAAACTAGGGTATTTTCGGTGTTTAATGTGAAATATGAGGGACTAAAGAAGAGGTATTAAATTTCACCTCATATATATAGAGAAGATAACCTAATGACTGAAAGTACAGGCCTCTTTTTCAGGGTTTCCACACCCTTACACTTTGAAGAAGGATCTTTGGGGAAGACATGGCAATAGGAAACTCCAGGGGGAACAAAGCAAATTATAACGCAGTGAGAAAAAAAATGATGTAATGGGAAAGTCTGATCTACTCATCTATGACTTCGATAATGAGGCAAACACCGACCTCTGAACTGTAATGATCATCAAGTATCTTTTAAAATAAACATATATGCAAGTCAAATGGATTTGGACATGTTAATTCAGTTTTACATATATTAACTTGAAAAACAGATTCACATTAAAATGTTAAAGGCCTTAATGTTGACACATATATGCGTTTTTATATTACTTAAGTATAATGCCAACGGCCAATAAGTAGTAAAGTTTCAAACAATGAGAAATCATTATAATCTATAAAGCCATTCATGTATAACGGAGAATTTTGATTTTTAGGAAAAAAATCTATGAATAATAAAAGGTACTAATATAGAGCTTAATAACAATTTACATAGCAGTGACAATAATGCATTTCATATACTGCTTTCCTTTTTAATATGAATAATGGGCCATGTTCCAGTTCAATGGGCAATCTAATTTTTTTTTAATTAACTTCTAAGAAAAGGTAATAGTCTCATTTTAAAAATGCACATTTTGTGAAGGACAAAAATTACTTAAGTTTAAAAATTATATCCTGACTGAAGTAGAAGAAAATTCATTACATCCTTGCCTTTCATCAATCAGAATCGTATTTTTATAACTTTGAAGATAATGCTTAATAAATATGTTATCAATGTTAAGAGCAACATTTCATGCTGAAGAGTGATGTTTCATGCTGAAGAAAAATGCAAAAATTCTAGTGCAACAATTTCCTTATTTTTGCCACCTTACAAGGTGGAAAGAGAAAAACGATCAGTCAGGAGGAATGTACAAGGCACATTTCTTTTTAAGAGATGGAGTCTCTGTTGCCCAGGCTGGAGTGCAGTAGCATGATCATAGTTCACTGCAACCTCATACTCCTGGGCTCACATGATCCTCCTGCCTCAGCCTCCCAAGTAGCTGGGACTACAGGCGCATACCACCATGCCTGGCTAAGTTTTTAATTTTTTGTACAGATGGGGTTATGCTATGTTGCCCAGGCTGGTCTTGAACTCCTGGCCTCAAGTGATCCACCTGCCTCAGCCTCCTAAAGTGCTGGAATTACAGGTGTGAGTCACTGCATCCAGTGTGTACTAGGTGCATTTTAATTACTAATATAAAATTTCATTTTCCTACTGTTTATAAATTACTATTACTATTTAATGAACTGATTTAAAAGAATTCTATAAACTATCACTTAGCTTCTTCTAAAAGAGTATGTGGGTATAACAAAAAATAGAAGATCATATCATAAAAATGAACCATCTTATTTTCATTCTATTCATATTTTGGAATGAAATAAATTGTGACCTTTCGGAATTATGCTTTAAATGTTTACAAATTAAGGCAGAGTTGTTTTTCATTTGGGTTTTAGATACTCTCGGATTTCATCACAATTAAGCCTATTAGAATAGCTGTGAAGAGATCATTTCACAAACAACTTTTCAAAAGCATACAAGATTAATCCATATGCTGCTGAGATGAGGCACAATAAAGAAGCATTACTGAGATAATCTATGGCTAAAATGATGGTGTATGACTTATGATTAAGCTTCATTACCTGCAGAGCAAGGGGCTTCCATCTCATATTTTTCAGTAAAGCTGGTGCTGAGGTAAGCATGCTCTGAGGTCGCTTTTTCAAAGTTAAGATAACACCACTCGGGTCCTCTCGTAGTGCATTCACCAAATTTTTCAACTGCCACCCCACCTGGTAACCAGCAAAATCATTACAATAAAATTGAGGTACAGTATTCAAAGATTTAATGTTCTCCCCCTTTAATAAGATTAGTAAAAAAAAAAAAAAAAAAAAAGTCACATAATTGGTGTACCATCCTATCAATTTTCAGGAGATACATACTCAAGAAATTTTATCTTTGAATTGATTAACCATGTTATTGCATTAGTCCATATCATTATGAGACAACATAATGGACATTTACCATGTCAAAGCAAAGACTAAAATGGTATCCTACCAACGGAGTACTTCAGAATGTAATGAAATTATGTCACCATTAATGCGGCTCAGCTGCTAGGTCTAGATCCAAGCTCTGTTCACCAGTATAGTTAAAAATCTATATGCCTGAAAACAAGGATTTGGCAATGTCCTCAGCTTACAAACTACACCACAAGCTTACTCATCACCATCTTTTAGAGATAAGTGGTACCAGTGTCTCTAAATTAGACTGATATTTTACTACCAATAGCTGGTACTGACATACCAAGGCAACATTCTTATGCATGGACAAGAGCAGCAATACAATAAGCCTTTTACCATGCTATAAAGACAGAACAAAAATAACAAGGTAACACTACTCCAATGAAGCAGCTATTGGAAATGTGTTCCAAACAACCCTATAAACTTAAAATATAATGTGCTAAATTTAATGAAGTCATCCTATTTGAATATCACCTAAAAACATATTGTGTAATTAAAATCAAAGTACTTGATAAATGTCTTGAAATCGGGCTCAACTGCATCCCGTTAAAATTACTTCACTCTTCATCCTTTTAAAATTCTGAACATAGAATAATTTTTGTTACTTTGCTTTGAAAACGGACTAGTGATGCAGTATCAAGTAACTGAAATCCTAGAAACTATGCTTTAAAGAAACACATTAAAATGTCTATTATTCCAAGTTGTTTTTAAAAAAAAAAATTTCACATTTAAAAGAGAGAAGAACCTTTTATCCCAAACCCTAATGGATTATACTTTTCCAGGATGTGTTATATAAACACACTAGGTCAAAATTTATCCTGAATTGCACGTAGGATTTAGCAAATGGTCTGAACAGTGATACAGTTTCTTCCTAGGCATCTAAGTTAAAGATAATTAGTGCCTTCTGTCTTTAATAATAATCATGTTTTTGACTGGGAGATATTTGTCAAGCCGGAGAGAATGAGCACTTCCACCAAAAGCAGCATAGACCAGACTATGAAGAAGAGGTAATCTGGAATGCGGCTATTATGGAATGGGGACTTTTGTATATTTAACAAGCATTCATCTAAATTGCAACATCAACTATAGCTGAATTAAGTGTTGGTGAAGTTAGAACAAACAAGAAGTGAGATGTTATAATGCTTAAAATCTCAGGGGGTCTCAGATATGAATCAAAATGATCATTATACTTGGATAACCTGAATGAGACTGCCAGTTTTTTTTGTTTTGTTTTGTTTTTTAAAATCACATTAATGTGGATCAACTACAGTAATGGAACTGGTCAAATGCCTCCCCTTACATGTAAGTGGGGACTATTATGTGCCCAAAGGTATATTACATTGATTCTGATTCCTCTGATAGCTGTGTAGTATCTGTACAGCCAAGAGTTAAAGCAAAGGGAGTTCAAATCCAACGGTTCATTTTGCTTGCCAAAAAAAATATGAATGCACATTTTGAATTACAAGTTTGGGGGGAGAAAACATACTACTTATACAAAGAGTTTGGGAACAACTTATTAATGATAACCACATTTTATTATTTAATTATTCACTCAAATAATTGCTAACTATACTAAAGTGGTCAATGTGATGGCCATAATCTTTTTTCCAGCACATCTATTCTCGATTTACACATTGATTTCTACTCACCAATTTCTTTTCATTTTACTTATTACAAAATTTGAAGATTTTTAAGGCTAGATGGTATTTTCCTATGAAATTTTTAGTGCAATTTGATTCATCCTATTCTTTCACACTTTCTATGTGCTCTTTTCAAGAAAACAATTCCAAAAAATAGAATTGCTTTTTTTTTTTGACAGAGTCTCGCTCTGTCGCCCAGGCTGGAGTGCAGTGGCACGATCTTTGCTCACTGCAAGCTCCGCCTCCCGGGTTCACGCCATTCCCCTGCCTCAGCCTCCCAAGTAGTTGGGACTACAGGCGCCTGCCATCACGCCCGGCTAATTTTTGTATTTTTGTATTTTCAGTATTTCTAGTAGAGACGAGATTTCACCGTGTTAGCCAGGATGGTCTCGATCTCCTGACCTCGTGATCCACCCACCGTGGCCTCCCAAAGTGCTGGGATTACAGGCATAAGCCACCGTGCCCAGCTTAGAATTGCTTTTCTATCAGAAAGTAGAATTGGTTTCTGATAAGAAAATTCATTTGGGTGGATTTTAATTTTACAGCTGAAAGTTATTTAATGGCAGAAAATTTGGGTATCTAATTTTACTATTTTTAAATCAGCCTTTTATTATTTACATGACATTAACAATGTTTAAAACAAAAGCAAAGAAATATACATCAAGACTGTATATTACATATCTTTGGCTCCCAAATTCTACTTCCACTACCTTAAGGAAATGATTGGATAAAAGCACAAAAATAAATGTGCAACATACGTGTCACAGTACTGTTTAAATCAACCAAAAATTGTACATTATGTAAATGTATCCATGAGTAAGGGATATAAAAATTGTGTAAAAAAAAAGTAAGTTCCAAAATAGCAAACATAATTTAATTCCACTTTTGTTAAAGAATGTACATAAATATAGAAAACACCATTAATGGTGGTTCAATTAAAGGGAGTAAGGACTTGCAATATATACTTTCTTCTTTATACTTTTATTTCCTAAACTTTTGGCAATAAGTGTGAGTTACTCTTGTAAACAAACAAAACCAACAAAATACATGAACCTAGTCTATGAATAGCAACATTCCAATTAGAAAATAATAAATTTGATGAATTACCTAATCAGGACTGCTTGATATGGATGGAAAATTTCTACCAAAACTGCAGAACCAGAAAGGCAACACTACTATTTAAAACACAAAAAGGTGGTGACGGAGAAGTAAAATCTGCTCTATGCATTTATAAATATAAATTTATTATTCAGGTGTACTCAGTAAGTCAAGAACTATGCTATCCACTGATTTTTGATTCAGTGAATGATCTCAGTAGATACTCCACTTAAGTATTAAATCAGTTTCACTTAGAAATTATTAAATAGGAATGAAGCCTACTGAGTAATTTACAGCCTATGTGTAACATTTTTCTTAATAACATACGTAGGTTTTAGCTATATCAGTCCCATCCTAGTACTTGTATACACATAAACAGCAACCAGAGCTGCGCCTTTCTCATTTGAATAGTCCTTTTTTTCCTTAGTCCTCTCTCAAACTCCTTCAATTTGAATCATTTCTATCTTCTTTACCAAATATAACTCTTAACACTTTCCCCCCATTTATTGGTTTTGGTCATGTTCTACTAGAAGTCAAATATGACATGGTGCTAGAGCTCCAGTACAAATAATTCCAGTCTCTGGGATATTCTAACATACCTTTAGCCATATAAAGGTAAACATACCTTTAGCCATATAAAATATATAAATACGTGTTAATCATTTTTCTTTTCTTTTTTTCTTTCTGGTTTTTTTTTGAGACAGAGTTTCACTCTTGTTGCCTGGGCTAGAGTGCAATGGTGCGATCTTGGCTCACTGTAACCTCCGCCTCCCGGGTTCAAAGTGATTCTCCTGTCTCAGCCTCCCAAGTAGCTGGGATTACAGGCATGCACTACCACACCTGACTAATTTTGTATTTTTAGTAGAGACAGGTTTTCTCCATGTTGGTCAGGCTGGTCTCAAACTCCCGACCTCAGGTGATCTGCCAACCTTGGCCTCCCAAAGTGCTGGGATTATAGGCGTTGAGCCACTGTGCTTGGCCGTTAATCATTTTTCTAGGTTAGTTTTCCATTTTTTCATTTAAGTTTCTGGTTGTGGTTTAAAAATATTCAGTGTGTGAAACTTAAATTAGAAACCATATAAAGATTTAACAGTAATACATAGAATGGCTGTAAAGTACTCTTTCCACTGGCTGTAATCAAAGTATATACTAGCAGGTAGAGAGAGTTTTGAAAGAAGGAAGAAGAGGTCCTAGTGGTTACTAATATAATAATAACTAATATAAGAGTGTAAGCTGCTAATATTGGAAGGAATTAAATAAGGTGCAAAATTTAAAGAAGTTTTTTTTTTTTGAGACAGGGTTTTACTCTGTTGCCCAGGCTGGAGTGCAGTGGCACCACCATGGCTCAATGCAGCCTTGACCTCCCAGGCTCAAGCAATCTTCCCAGCTCAGCCTCCAGAGTAGCTGGAACTACAGGTGTACACTACCATGACTGCCTAATTTTTATTTGTTTGTAGAGATGAGGGTCTCACTATGTTGCCAGGGCTGGGCTCTAACTCCTGGGTTCAAGAAATTTCCCCATCTTGGCCTCCCAAAGTGCTGGGATTATAGGCATGAACCACCACATCCAGAGATGAAAAATATTCTAATAGTCAAAGATATCCAAAAAAGAATTTGGCTGACTTGTGAAACAGATCAATATCAAGAGATGTTTCAATATTCTTGCATAGGTCAAATAATTAGGTAACTTTCAGTCACAATACATTCCAACTTTAAAACACAGAGTGGGTAGGAACATGAAAACAGATGATAAAGATTAGCTTGAGTAAAATAACATGGTTCTGTTACATCTCTGCCTACATCTTTACATCTCTGTTACATCTTTTCTTCCTCTTCCCTACCAATAAGTGTACCTGTTTCCTCTAGGCTAAGTGTTACACACCTTTCTAATACTTCATGCTGTCTTCTTACAATAATCTCGGTCAAAAGCTTTCACCAACAACTTCCTGCATGATTCCCAAATCTTTCTACCATTCCTGCTTCCTATCAATAACTCTAGAGTTATTTCCAACTGTTTAGCTTGTCCACGTTAAT